AACGAATAACGAGCGACGGCTAAACCTTCTTGATAGTCACTCCTTAAGAGTCAAGATTAAGGTCAAAGTCAGTCAGAAGTCATTTGGGGCTGACTGTGTAAAGGTAAACATTTACCTAAATTTAATTAGTCAATTTTTTCTAAACAAGAATATATACATTTATATAAAACATTTATGTAAAACGTAGTAAATATTTATATAGTATTATAAATATTTTCACATTCTTTATTAAGAAGGTATTGATCTTATTTAAAAATTTTTATTTAAAATACTAGTTTTTAAATTAAACAAAATGGAAAAAATTAGAAAGTAATTAAGATTAATTTTAGGTATACTAAAATTATTTAAAATAACAAAATATCTAATTTAATAAAAACATTTCTTTACTAAAATAATAAACTTATAAAATAAGATTTTACTTAAATTGCCAAAAGTCCTCATTTCGTGGAGACATTTTTATATGTGATTTAAAATAAGAATTTCTTTTGTAATTTCCAATCCATACATCATAACCTTGATCAGCCAATAAAAATGCTATAATACAAAATAATGATATATAATCAGCTTTTTAATTATATTTTCGATTTAAATATTAAGTAAATTCACCTGACAAGAGAAACAGCTGTCACAACTGTCAGTAACAGATTCCATTTATATTTCCTTATTTGTAATTTCTACATTAATTTATATAATAAACATATTTAATTATTCAATTTTTCGTATATTTATATACTGAGAGAAAAGTAGTAACTGTTTGTAACTATAATAGTATGGTAATTAAATAATTATTGTTAAAAAATACCATTTTATAGTTCTTACTGATTCAATGTGTAATAATAATAATTATATTTATAGTTTTATTAACTAAATATATGTATATGTTGTTGTCACTGAAAATGGCTACACATTGTAATTAAAATAATTATCTTTTTCTCTCAATATAGTTCTCTCAAACAGAATCGTTCCATCGGAAGAAGTTCATATATGGACGTAGAATAAACAGAAAATTAAAAATACAAAAGTTTCGCTAGAAATTATATTCTCTAGATAACAAAGTAATTATGAATTTGATTTAATAACAAACGCATCATGTATTGACGGTTACTCACCAAAGCCTTTGGCAGCACTAAACACCCATGTGTCAGATGAAGCTATCCAACCAGGTTGGAGAAAAACAACTTTTTTTTTCTGTTGATCATTAGATAAAGGACTTCCCGAGACTCTGTGTATTACCAAGTTATAACCATCTTCCGTTGTAACGTAATGCTCCTCGGCGGAGTAACCATATCTCTCGACTAACAATAAGCCGGTCTGTGTAGACATAGAGAATGTTAACGAAGCCAACTTTTAATAATCGTAATATCTAAAATAACAGAAATTTAAATATGTAAAAAAGACAATTTGGACAAGATTTTGAGAGTATTATCTATTTTGAATTAGTCTCAAAATTTATTTTAAAACATCTTGTAAGGTGAATGTCCCAATTAATAACATTGTCCCAATTTGTGACAATCTCTGTCTTTTTTTCTCAATAAATCAGTTAAGAGCAATATTCAGTCTAAAAAATGTGTTTGTATTCAAAATTGTACATATTATTTATTACAACAAATTTTAAGTAAAATTAAACGCTTTTGTAAATGCTAAAATATTATAATTATAAGCATGCTGCTAACGATGACAAATCGAGCCATTGTTCACTGATATCTTACGATGACTGATATCTTACGATAACGACTACATCGACGATTCTTCCATCGATTAATTCTAGCTATTATTAAGTTGAAAAGAAATGAAAAATAAACACTCAAAGTTAAGTATATATTAAGGAAAATTGTGAGTAAACTGAAAACGTCACAAAATACATATTTTGTAATTAATGCATGTGTCATTAATCGGTACTAAAATATTTGTTTATCTTTATTACTGACAGTCGAAATAAATATAATATAAAGTGATGAAAACATTCTCATTTTTAAAGAAGCCATGTAAATTTATAAATATCAATCATCATTAAATTAATTAAAAAATAACATTATAGCCCGTAGAGTTCCTAACTCATATTAATTGTCACAAGTGAGTGCGAGTATTCAGATATCGCGTGTGTCAAAAGAAAGATTGTGTGTAAAAAAGAAACATTGAAAGCACCTTCATCCGAAGGAGAAAGAAAAGAACAAGTGTGTATTAAGACACTTATGATTTTTTATCAATTTGTGATATTCCAATGATTATTTATTATTTTTCAATGTACGTGTCAGTAATAGGGACGTTATTATCTTGTACAATGTACAGTGTATCATTGATAGGTACTTTTATATGCGTATCACCTATCAGTGACGTAATGGACTAGCATGTGTCACAAATTGGGACAATTTTAAATTCATGTGTCACTATATGGTATAAAAAAAAATGTTTATAAAGAAATAATAAATAAATTAGAAATTTGTTAAAGAGTAACAGAATTTAATTTTTTCAGTATCTTAAATATCCAAATGTTTCAATAACATTTATTTCATGAACTTATTGTGACATGTATATCAATAATTTATTAATTAATTGTTACAACGAGGTTAACTTTGTCACTAATTGGGACATTCATCTTAATTCAGAATGAATTGAGACCTTTCTTTCATAGATAATAAATTTTTACTCAATATTTGAACAAATATCTATTAATAAATATATTGCTACTGATTATAAAAGTTTTTGTTGTATTAATTTTACAATCATTAATATAGAAAGATAATTTCGCCAATTTTTTAGATGATGTTGCTAACATTATCTAATTATTCTAGTTGAAATCAATTTAGTATAATATATGTGTGATATTATTTTAACTTTCAATTATGATTGAATTCTTAAAGACCGACAATAATAGGCTATGATGAGCTGAAATTTAAAGATTTGAAAATTAAAAATCTTATTGCACAACCAACATCTCTGCCGAATTTAGTTCTTTCTCTCTTATTATTTGCTGTATATATATATATATTTTTTATAGATTGGGTATATTTATATATATATGTATATATATATATATATATATATATTCTTTCTCTCTTATTATTTGCTGTATACAGGGTGTCTCGTACTCAATGGTACAGCGCTTGTGAGCAGGTAGTGTGGACAAAACTAAACAAAAAAG